AGAGGCGGCGGCAGGAGGAGGCGGAAAGGAAGGAGACCTCATCGCCACCGCCTCCCCCCAACTACCAACCCCTCCCTCACACACACACTCATACATACACTCATACATACATACATACATACATACATACATACATACTAACGCTTTTGTGGTTTCGCCGGACTATCCCGGGCCCCTGCAGTGGTGATCAGGCTTGTGCGGGATCCCTTTTCTTTATAAGGCTACTTCTCCCCTGGACCAGCCCAGGAAGGGACAGGTGGTGGAGGTCAGTCGTTTTAAGGTGGTTGCAAGACGTCTTGTGGTGTCGAGCTCTCTTAGCCGTTCTCTCTTGGAGGTTTTTTTTTGTTGGCCTGTTAGGTATATCAGGAGCCCTCCCCTGCCGGGACTGCCCTAACCGAATTTTTATTTGTTTGTTTGTTTTCCCTTCGAATCCCGTTTTCGTTGGTGGTGTTTTGGGGGGTTGTTTCAGAGAGCCTGTGACTTTGCCCTAGCTGAGACTTGTGGACTCGCTATAGCGGGACCTGAGAGCCCTTCGTGGTGTTTTCACTGCAGCGCCATCCCCGGATGGAGGGGCTGCGGAGTGGCTGCGTAGAGCGTTGGCAGTCTGAGTCGGGGTCGGGAGCACACAAGACTAACCGACTTGTGCTGTGTGCTCCCGACCCTTGCGCTGTGTTTCGGCTTCGGCCCCCGGCTCTCGCAGCCCACAGTGTAATCTAAGTCATACATACATACATACATACATACATACATACATACATACATACATACATACATACATACATACATACATACATACATACATACATACACACACCTGCATTTTGCGATGCGCCGCCTCCAACTCGGCCATCAGCTCCTCCTCCGGCGGCTCGCCCACAGGTGCCGTACCTTTTTGTACGGCATGATGGCGCTTGGTCGCTATCGCATGGACCTGCCTGGCGGTCAGGTAGTTCTGTTCGGTGTGTTTGTGTTTGGGGTGGAGGGGGCAGTGCAGGTTGGGTGGGATCGTTAGGGCAGTAAGAGGAGGTTGCGGGTGAGTGTGGGGGTGAGTGTGTATTGGCGCCGCCAACACGACGAAGCTACCGGACAACTAAAACGCCATCCTACAACTTCATCAACCGACCGACCAACCGGTCGGCAGCAGCCGTGAAAAAATAATCATACGGCATATACCTTTTGGATCTTCGCCATCTCCGCACCGTACTTCTTGCATTTGGCGCAATCGCCGTACAGCTCGTAAAAGAGATCCCGACCAAAACGGGGCAGTTCGCTGGTTCCCGCCACCGCCATGTCAGGAACGCCGTCATCACTGTCGCTGCTATCATCCGGCGGCGAGTGCATCAAATGCCGTACACACGGCGCCGCCAGGTGACGGCAGTTGGCCGGCAGTAGCGCCAACGCACAGGCAACCGGCAGTAGCGGCAGCGCAGCCCGAGGGTCCGCCGTACCAAACGTGTTCAACGTTATGTATGTCTGTCCCGACGCGACAAGTGACTCGCAGACGGCGCATATCGCGGCGGCGCTGGGTGCAACCCCGTCGTACACAAACCTTGGCACCAGGGAAGGGCAGCGACCAGGACAGGAGACGGAATACGACAGTACGACACATGGCACGTGGGGGTGGAGGTACAGCGGACAGTAAGAGAGGTACACGGTAAGGGTAAGGGCACGAAACACAACAGCCCTTGTACGGAAAGCACCCACAAGACCCCGCCACTAGCCTTCAAGAGAATCCCCCACACACACGCACCACCACCACCACTACCACCACCACTACCACCACCTACAAATGCTCCCCAAACCCCAATCCCCCCTCTTCCCCCTTAAGAAAGTATAATTCATACATACATACATACATACATACATACATACATACATACATACGGCCACACCTGCACACACACACCCCCACCTGTAATCCGGGCACTCCCCCGTCAGGTACATCTGCAGCAGCCACACACACCCTCGCAGGTAGTGCCGCGGGTCGGCGGGGGCCTTGCTGCCCCGCCACTCATCAGCATCACCTCCTCCTCCTCCTCCACCACCACCTCCACCGCCATCGCTGCTACCGCGGTGGCTGCTGTGGCCTAGGGGGGATGGGGAGGTGGGAGCC